TGGGGCTCTTCTGGCTTTGAGTGGGGGTGAGTGTCTGCAAAGAGGGTCCCTGGTGTTCGGGGTCGGGGGAGATTTGTCAGATCTTAAGATTCCTTGAGGTGGTATAGCGGGGTTCCGGATCAAGGGGACTGTTGATTGGGGTCTTGGGCTGTTTGGGGGGCAGTGGAAGCAGTTTAGGAAGGTTCCAGGTGTCCGGGGGCAGATCACTGGGGGGATGTCCTTTGAGCGGTGGGGAGCGTCTTCGCATTCCCGAGATAAAGAAGCAGAGTGTCAGGGTTCCGGGGAGAGGGGTGTGTTTATCGCTGTCTCGGGACCCAGAGGGCGGTGTATCTATCTGTTCCGCAAGGGCGGCCGCCTCGGTCCGTGGCTGGAGCCGAAGGGTGTTCCGCCGGTACCAGAGATTATGCTGGGGTTTCTACTTTGCCCAGAGGGTGGCGGTAACTGGGCTTGGTCCCCAGCCTTTTCTTTTTTTTTTGGGGGGGGGGTGGCGACCGGGCTAGATAGTGGGTCCCTGGGCGATCCAGCAGCGTGGGCGCGGTTCAGCAGGCGCTGAGTCTCCTGGGGACCCAAGGGAGCTTTCCTGGCTTTCTTCTTGATCTGGCCCAATTGACTGCCAGTGGCTGTTCAGCATCCTGAAACGGTTTCGATCTGGTCACTCTAGATGAGATTTACTCAATGTTTAGTTGGAGGATTGACCCGTATTGTTGCCTAGTTGTTGAATTAGTGGGTTTGTTCTGCAGTTCTCTTTTCTTTGCTCTGGGATCCCTGTGGGGGCGCGCTGGACTCTGGAGCTGTGGGAGCTGGAGAGTGGCAATACCTTTAACTGGGCATGTGGTCTGTAGGTTCTGTAGGAGGCACGTGTCCGCGAGTTCAGCGAAGATACAGCTCCCAAGCAACTGGAAATTGCTAAGGGCGAGGAAGGCTATGTGATCTTGGCTTTCCTTCCTAGGTGGTCTGCTTTGATGATCCTACATTTTTAGATCTGTCCTGAAGTCTTGCCTGAGTGTAGGCAGAATTAAGTAGTGCTGGAAACGTGTGTTCTGACTTCTGTGTTCTTTGAAAAACATTTGTGGAGAGAGACAAGTTTAGCTTCCAAAAAAACAAACAAACAAACAAACAAAAAACCCCCGTATTGGAATTTGAAGCCCTAAAACTAGATCTTTGCAAAAGCATCTTTTGCAACCTGTTAAGGATGGCTAACAGAGCTCTTTTACAGAATCTTGCTTATCAGTTTTATTGTGAAGGTGTACTTAGTTTTGGATCTTAAAGAGTTCTTGGTGACTAGCCCAATTTAGGTGAGATTTAAATAAACTGACCTGTATGTATGTGTATGTGGTTTAAAAACAAAAGTATAAATCAAAAGTCTGGAATTTACCTGGCATTTCTTCTCCTTAGGGAGTCTATTGTGACAGACAGTGGGGCCTCTACCTATAATATTTCTGTAAATTTGTAATCTGGGATAAAGGACAAATTTGACTATGCAAAAGCAAAGTCTGCCTCAGACTTTTTCTTATTGACAGCTTTTTTAAAAGGACATTTTATTTCATCTTAGAATCAGAGAGTAGGGATAACATACTGAATTTTTGAATTTTGGAAACATTTTTTTTTAAAAAAAGGGAATGGTGTGGAGGAATATTTAACTCTTTGAGGGGCTTAAAGTAGGTTTTTGTTGTTCAAACTAAAATATCTGCTTGGCTTTTCAGCCATCAAGACCCATCAGTTGAGCAGGTATTTAACACTGTGGCCCCCAGAACTCTTAAGTATATCCTCCTGCCCCTCCCCACCCCCGAATTTTGAGAGAAAGACAAATGATAAATTAAGCAGATTTTAGAAACATGGCTTTCATGACTGCTAAGTAAGGATAGAATTATCAATCAAATATTTGATTATATGCTTTGTGTCACAACATTGAAGGTATGGTGATTTTAGCAGTCACCTAACCAACATCAAAAGGGAGACAAATAAAATAAACAACTTGTAATGATGCTAAGAAAGAAGTATACAGAGAACTTGGGATTCAGCTATTTTTTAAAGTATGAGTGGTAATATAATTGATGTCTGTCACAATCACCAAAACCCAAGCAAGGTAGTGCTCTACTTTCTGAATTATTAATGAGAGAGTAAATTATTATAAGAGTTTGGGTGTTATATATTAATTCCTTAAAGATACTTCTATATGTAAGTATAAGAAAGTCTGTAAGGATGCACATCAAACTTACATTTAAAGATTCTCTAGAAGAGATTTGCAGAGGCATGGTAGAGCTATTTAATTTTATACTTTTATCTTGAATGTATTTAAATGAGCACACATTAAGTGCAAATTAGAGAGTTCAAAATTTAAACATTTTGAACACTATGCAAATTTGTGTAATACGAAGTATTTATGA